ACCTCACCGTTTTTGGTTGAGCTTTTTTGACGAAATATCTATTTCCTTCAAGAATCTAATTAATAGAGGACAACTGTATTACGAATGTGCCCTTGTTTCAGACGTTGTTGGGCAACCTGATCAACTCTCTTCTTAGATTATTAGCATGATTAAACACATTTTGCAAATTCATCGAGAAGATATATGCAGCTAGTTCGAGCTAGCTTTCTCAACAAACAAACAAAAACTAGTTGGAGCTATGCTTTGCAGTGGAAAATGGTTTTATTATGGTTTATTATGGAAGTGTGAACTAACCGAGAATCATTTTAAGATGATATCGTTTAAAAGTCTTCCATAATAAGCCACTTTCCATTACAAAGCATAGTGGATTCAAGAACAAAGTTTAACGACGTCTATGTAAGTAATTTTTAAGAATTTTTTTTTTGGTTACGAAAATTCCCAAATATTTGTGCCTTGTGAATTTATTATTAGATATCTATAAATTCAAATTTTAACCAAACTTTTTTGGTGTCATCTACAGATGCACTGATAACAATTGTGCAACAATCTTTCCATGCAAAGTTTTTGATTTAGACTATTTGGCACGGAACTTACCATTTTACAAAGAGAGTAGTTGGGGATTGTCCATTAAAAAAATTAGTATCTAAAGCAAAAAAAAAAAAAAAAGGGTCCATTGAGAGAACACACAATTTTACCCCGAAAAATCATTGACATGGTAAGATTCACCCCGAACACTTTGAAACCGAGAAAAGGGACTCAACCACTAAACTACAACATATTTCCAAAAATTGATGCCTGAACACCAGCTTGCTATACTTTAGGTTAGGGTCGGTATTAAAACTGGTAACCAGCTTAGTTTAAAGTTATACTGGTGAGGGTTATGAAAGTGGTGACAGAGTATTAATGGCGTCAAACAAAGAAACTAATAAACGAAAAATTGCCATTGCCATTGCCGTGGGAAGAAAGGGAGAGAGGTTTTCGTGTATTAAAAATCTCTAAATTTACAAAAATTCAAATATTGAAAAGAGGCCTTCTGGCCTTGAAAACCTAATCTATATCCCCAGATTTAAAAGGCACAATACAAATCAGAGACCAAAAAGATTCAAGCTACCTACTCTTGTTGTATTAAACTAGAATATTACATTAATCATCGAATCATTTATAAAACTACTCCCAAGAAACCAATGTCACTACAATCACATTGGATGTATAGAAGGTTATGTATCGTACGTAGAAGCGTCATGCATTAATTAATGTGTATTTTGTTTAGTAGAGGAGAAAGACAGAGGGAGACCAAATTTTGATGCTTAGTCATGTGCTCTCTAAACGATGATGGGTTTAAAAAAAAAGATGTTGTTGCTTCCGATTGTTATGCTTCAAGTGTTAGTAGTCTATTTGTGTTATGATATGCACATATTCTCTCAATGTTTCTAAGTTTGAGGGAAAGCCAATGTTGTCACCAAGCGCTAAGATTTATTCATTCATATACGAAGAAGAGAGGCAAGCATGATGATTTCGATCAAATTCGTAAACCTTTAAAGCGATCCGCTGCTTCCATTCCTTGAATTTCCTTTACTTTTCTTCTTGATCTTCTCAAGAGCCTCGAGCTGCAACGTTGACATATTCTCGCAACAATATTGCGCCAAAATATCTCTGTGGATTAGCTCTTTCGGATCCCAAATCACGAAACTCTTGTTGCTCTTGCTCCATGAGATTATCGAATCCAATGAAGGATCGACCACAACCCCATATACATCGCTGTAGAATCGATACATCGCTCTAAACTTTCAGATCCCACAAAACCTAACCCTAATATAGCGCTTCACTGACCTACACTTGGGCCTACTAATAGACTTTTCACTTGTTTTCTAATTTATTTGGGCTTCACCACTTACATTTGGGCCCATTAAAGAAAGAAACTTATACGATTTGGTTTAATTTGAAGTTTATGTGTAATCAAAGTTTTGTTGCAACTTGCTAACGGAAGCACAACTTCAGTCTTTTCTCTCTTTTTTCCTGTGT